GCATTTCAGATAGATGTGTGAACTTCCTTCTCGTTCTCCCAACTGTGGTTTTTCCTGCCCTCAAAAGAAGCAGGAAAGGAACAACTGTATGCCACAGTCCTCGAGAAGGTACAAAGTAAAAGTGACTTGGAGCCACATGTGTGATTAACCACACATCCCATTTGGCCCTGCCTGCCAAGAAGCGTGGATCCAAATTTCATCGTCAGTCGTACCAACCACATTAACCCATACAGCTCACAACTGTGCTTTTCTTTTTTCTTTGTCCTCATTCTGCAGTTCTGCTTATACTGTTGAGATGTCTTGCTTTAGAATGAGGCAGAGAATAAGCAAATACATGGAAGTAGGAAGGGCTCTGAATTAGTAAACCTGGTCCCTTTCCCATGACAATGGAGCCTTCCAGAACTTTCCTCCATACAGCCAGTTACTGGCACGTCCATTAACAATTGCTGCTTTAATGTCAGGACAAATACATAAATTTAAACACCATGTCCTTTACGCACGTAGGTAATGCTGACTAGGGGCTTACCCGCAGCAGCTTTTCCTTGTAAACAGGCAATTAGATAAGTCGGAAATAGAAAAGACACATCACCACATAAAAGCAGGTCGCAAAAAAAATTAGATAGGAAACAAAATTGTTGCCATTCCAGCAACTAATGAAAGTATGTTACAGTAAACAAACCTCTGGTGGTGCTATAACTCCTCTCAGGAATCAGGAAACACCCTGAAGGCCCAAACTCTGATGGGGGTTGGGGGTGCATTTTACTTTGAAGTCAAAGAGCAAGAGGAGCTGGTTTTTATAGGATCAAAATGATGACACCAGTGCCTGCTTATTCTAAAAGACTGAACTGATCTCTCGGGGCTGTTTACTGTCTTCTGCCCTTCTCTGTCGCCAGAGAGTCTTTTTCAAGTTTCCTGTTCACTTCCAGGCCTGTTGTTTCCAAAACCGATGATTACAAATGAGAGGTGTGGTCTCAGATGAAAAATACAATTATAGGTCTCTATGCTGTCCTGAGGGGAACCCAGCGGGGAGGCCAATGGCAAACCGGTGCTTTGGTACAGAAGGCTTTGGATACATTACTGTAACAAGCGCGTTTCTGATCCAAATTCTCTGCTGGCCTATAAAATTGTTTATCTAACTTAAGCGCGACTGTTTCCCCAAATCTTGTCAACCTGCTGTGGTTATTACTTCCAAGTGTAGGATCTGTCACCTCCTCCACACAGGAAAAGCAGCAGCCTCTCCTCAGCTTTAGAACCTTAAGACTCCTGAGAGGTAGGAATTTAGCAAAATGTTAGAGAAGGGTTGATTTACAATAGATCTTACTGCTGATCCTGCACCAGTAACAAGCCGGGGGAAACAGGGTTGATTTAGTAATTCCCTCCCATTTAAGGAGGACATGGTGAAAAACAACTACCTTGGTCACCAGAGTCAAAGTCAATTATACCTGGGAGCCAATATGACATTCTTTTTGCTAATTTGTAAGCAATTACCTCGTTTCATTTTGAAAAATATTTGCCTTTAATATTCAGTAGAGGCATACAGAAAGGCTACCTCTGGTCCTCCCACTATCACCCCCAAAACAGATCAGCTGTGATTTTTAGCACAGACCATGTCATAGCATTATCTACAAAAACCAAGTTATCCACTGAGAACAACAGAAAAAGCAGGTTGGAAGACGAAGCAATCTTGGTTTAAAAAAAAAGTAAATACAGTCAAGATAAACTTTATTGGCTAATTTAGAATACTAGCAGGTTGTATTACTGTCTTTTAAACAGCTTTACTGGGGTGTCTGGGTGGCTCAGTCAGTTAAGCGTCCGCCTTCAGCTCAGGTCATGATCCCAGGGTCCTGGGATCGAGCCCCGCATCAGGCTCCCTGCTCAGCGGGGAGCCTGCTTCTCCCTCTCCCACTGCTCCCCCTGCTTGTACTCTCTTGCTCTGTCAAATAAATAAATAAAATCTTTTTAAAAAATTTTAAAAAAGGGTGCCTGGGTGGCTCAGTTGGTTGAGTGACTGCCTTCAGCTCAGGTCATGGTCCCAGGGTCCTGGGATCGAGTCCCGCATTGGGCTCCCTGCTCTGCAGGGAGCCTGCTTCTCCCTCTCCCACTCCCCCTGCTTGTGTTCCCTCTC